TTGGTGACTTGGAGTTTTAATAATTACCGGAGAAATAAGTTATTTAAGGTGAGTCTCCTCGTAAGGTATTAACTTACAGCCTAATAAGATTAGATGTCTCTGTTCTCCAATAAACAACCTATAATCACAGCCTCTCTTAATTTATTAACTATTAAACACTTCAAAAAAAACAAAAAACAAATCCTGTTTTGGCCAAATTAAGGTCTAAAATCCACCTTTCAAAATTGGCCTAAAAATAAACTTTTAAACCCTCTCGATATAAATAAGAACATCAACTTTTTATATCTTCTCCACGCATTCTCGATTTTAAATTCATTAAGAACAAAACATTCTTCCGAAGCTAAACAACAGCAACAATGATGTCTATTGCGAGCCATCTTGTTGTTGTTGTTACCATGTTGGTCGCAGCCGTTGCCGTCGCGGAATCCGACATGCTTCAAGATGTTTGTGTTGCCGATTTATCCAATGGTATTTACTCCTATATCACATTTTACTCCAATCAGTTTTTACGTTTATAATGTCCCATAAAATCTCTTTCTCTATTCATAGTAGAAAAAGACGAGCCACCTTTTTTTTTTTATAATTACAAATTTCATAGTATTCCATATATATTCCAATTTCCATAGGATATTATCTGATTTTCTGTCTATTTTAAAATGATATCGTTATGTTATGTCACCAGTTGTGATGACAGACAATCTTCTCTTTTTGTGATGTTTTAAAATGTTAGTACTGTACCATTGAAGATTTTCCTTGAAATTTATCAGGATTTAGAAATTAAATAGTTTTTTTTGTACAATTAAAGTTTTAAAATAATAAGTAGGTGGAAACAAAGGATTGGATATTCAAATATTATTTTTCAATTGTATAAAAAACAAATATACATAATTTTGAAAATCATTAAAAAGTTGGTTAATTTTTTCTATTTCAAAATTCAAATATATATATGGTTATATTTTTTACCCACAAGGTTCAGATTTTCATAAAAGCCCTTTAACTTTTCTCTCTTTTAAATTTTTGAATAATGAAGCGGTCAAAGTCAACGGGTACACTTGCAAGGCGTCAACACAAGTAACACCGGAAGACTTCTACTTCCAAGGCTTAGCCTCCGTCGCCGTCACCTCTAACTCCTCCACCGGCTCAGTCGTGACAGGAGCTAACGTAGAGAAGCTGCCAGGACTCAACACACTCGGCCTCTCCATGTCCCGCATCGACTACGCACCAAACGGCCTAAACCCACCACACATGCACCCACGCGCCTCCGAGATCATCTTCGTCCTCGAGGGTCAGCTCTACGTCGGTTTCGTAACAACCGCCGGAAAACTCATCGCCAGGTACTTGAACAAAGGAGACGTCTTCGTCTTCCCTAAAGGACTCCTCCATTTCCAGAAGAACACTGCCAAATCAGCTCCGGCCTCTGTCCTTGCCGCCTTCGATAGCCAATTGCCCGGAACACAATCACTCGTCGCCTCTCTCTTCGGAGCTCTTCCCGACGACATTCTCGGTAAGGCATTCCAGATCAAACCCAAACAGATTAAGAAGATCAAGTCCAGATTCCCAGCCAAGAAATGAGAAGGACAAAAACATCAACTTTGAAGTCCTGAAATTATCAATCTTTTTCTTATTTTGCTTTTGTCACAAAACACACTACTGCGATGAAGAAGAAGAAAGATAAAGTTTGCAACTTTAAACTATAAAGAGATGGAAACTTAAGCAAAGAAGTTAAACAAGCTCTGTTTCATTGTCTTAAAAGAAAGCAAATTCTCATCAAATGGGAAAATCAAAAGAGTTTTTCTTGTGCCTCTCTCTCATTCATGATTACTTAGCCACCCAATTGTCTGTTGTTGCCTTCCATCTGGAATCGAGAATAAGACGATGGGCTTTGACGATTTGATAAATGGCACATCACACCTGAAATAACCTTTCCTTTCAAGCTGAATCACATCCCCACGCTGGAGACTCTTCATATTCGAATCACCGAGTGCCAATGTTTCCTTCTTCGTGACAGGATTCACAACCGTACTAACATCTTCCTCTTCTTCCAGCTGTGTTGCAACAAACAAAACAAAAATCAGTGATTTTCAGAGATGAAACAATGTACAAATGCATCAACCAATTCTTACCTTCTTCTTCGTGATCAAATAATCAAACTCAGTTAATGTGAGATTGACCAACTCATTAGTGTTAGGAAGCCATGTGAGCTTCAGCTTTGTAGTCTTCACAGATCCTTGGAGATTCAGAACACCAGATAACGCAGTAACATTACCCTCATCGTCCTTGCTGATTTCCTTCACTATGGCATTTCCCCAATCCATCAAAGTTACTTCCTCATCAACAGATATAGCACTAGCATCAGCTCCCTCGATCCAAATGCTCTTAGTGAAGGTGGTTGCTTTTTCTCCAGCTCCTTCAAATTTCTTGTGCTTTGGTATTAGGCGGACAAATGGCTCATCAGGACCATTTGTTAACGTCAGCAGTACACGCCGTTTATCAATCACAGCTGTATGTCTAGGGCACACAGGATCAACTATTTTCTTATTAATAGACCAAATTTTATCCCATTCCATTAAATTTAGATTCTTTGAAGCTCCCTGAAACATTAAAAATCACATAACTTAAATGAGCCAGAAGAACATTTGAAAGAGACTAGCAACAACGAGAAGAAAAGCTCACCTGCTCAAGAATGAATTGGATTAGAGCCTCGATTTTCAAACCTCTGCGAACAATTCCTTGGACTGTCGGGAAGCGAGGATCATCCCACCCATCAACCAATCTCTCATTGACAAACCAGAGAAGCTTGCGCTTGCTGAGAAGAGTGTAAACCAGATTCAACCGGCTGAATTCAAAGATCTGAACCCTTTGCATTCCCATGTCGTCCTGAACTTTGAAATACTGAGCATTCCGGTCATGATACTCGCTAGACCGAAGGGCATGGGTTATACCTTCAAGGGAATCGACAAATGGGCAAGCAAAGTCATATGTTGGATATATCTTATACTTATCCCCGATACGGTGGTGAGACATAGGATTGCATCGATAATAAACCGGGTCTCGCATGGCTTTGTTAGGGTCTTGCATGTCCAATTTCCCACGAACACAGCATTGTAATCCTCTCTCAGTTCCCTTAATCATTTCCTGCCAGAGCTTCAAATTCTCCTCCACGCTATGGTTCCTACATTTCGAATCAACCCCTTCCATCCTCTCTTTCTGCATCTGTTCCTTTGGTGTGTCGTCAACATATGCCTTACCTTCACGCATCAGTTTCTCAGCCATTTCCATCAGCTCAGGAAAATAATCAGAAGTGTATGTCACTTTCTCATACTTGATCCCCAATGTCCCAACATCCTTGATGAGATTATCCACAAACTCATTGCTTTCTTTTGCAGGGTTAGTATCATCAAAACGCAGAATCAGTTCCCCTTGGTAGCGCTCTGCGAAATACTTGTTCATCAATGCCGCCTTGGCGTGTCCAATGTGAAGATAACCACTCGGTTCAGGAGCAAACCGGAGTCGGACCTTACCAATTTCTGCACCCGGCAAGTCCACTTCAGGTTTTCCTTTATCCTGTGAATCTGCTTTCAGAGCTTGTTGTTGATCTTTGCACTTGGGTGCAGCAACAGGCTTCCCTGATCCCTTTTTCGCAGCATATGTTGCTAATACCTCACTGAGGGACTCGCTGTATTCGTTTAGTATGGAATTGTACCATCTCACCAAACTCGGGTACTTTTTCGATTTCCTCAAACTATCCCATCTTTGGCCGGTTCCTGCAAAAAAAGAAACAGTCTTAACCTTAGTGAAGACAATAACAAGAGAGCTTCAAATAATGAGGAATCCATCTTGATTCAGCCAAATTCATAACAAGATAATGAAATTTTTACCAGCGAGAGCTGACCAAATAGCAACATCAGCAATGGAAAGAGAATGGCCAACAAGAAAAGTCCGACTCTCCAGGAACTTATCGACACGATTGCAAGCATTCTCAAACTCTGAACCAGAGGAGAAGACAGAAGCGTAATCTACCCACTCATCAATCTGATAATAACCCATAAAGCAAGAAGAAAAACTAAGGATTTAGCATCTACATGAGAGAAAGATTCGTGGAAGTATGAAAATAGTTTGGTACAAGAATCGAGACCTTAGACGAATCAAAAGCATTGCAGCCGTAGAAATCGGGAACCGTGTTCGCGGATCGACCAACGTAGCGAAGAAGAACGGAAGCCCCACTCAATTTCTGCCTGAATCCAGAAATCGGAGAAAAGAAAAGGGCTTATAAGTTTCAGA